TAATTTCTTCTGACAAAATAGAAGGAAATGATTTTGGTAAAAAACGACAAAGTTCTATCTGCAGATTGTTTGTCGCAATAGGGAATAGCGCTCCCCAAAGAGATCGGATCTTTATCTTGTACTTGACCTTTTCGTTTTTCTTGCACCAAGTCATGTGTCTCTTAACATTCCATTTATATTGTTTTTTTATAAGTGTTCTATGATCCGGCTTTTAATTATTTTTCTAGTATTTTACATACAATGATGAAACCGAAATACCCCTCGATGTTAATGGCGTCGAGGGGTGTTTCGGTTTCATCACAGGTAGCCAAACAGTAACCCCCGATCTCAGCGAAAATGTCGTCTAAACGTGTGTTGTTGTTGTTTGTTGTATTTTACATACAATGCTTGTTAAGCTGTCTGGTCTGTAATTGCACGGTTCACTTTTTTGTATAAAGGTACTACTAATGCACCTTTCCAGTCTGATGGTATCTTTCCAGATGAAAGAGAATTGTTGTATATGGTTGTCAAAGTCTACAAAGCCTACTTATTTCCATTCTAACTTCCTTCAAGAATTTTGAATGAAGCCCATCAATTTCTGGGCTCTTGTCCTCCTTCAATTGTCCAAGTTCAAATACAGCTTCCGTTCTGTAATTCTGAACTTCCTACCAAAGATGTTCCAGTTAGGGTTACATTTATCTACTGGTATTTTTTCTTTTTTTGAATGTGCTCTGATGAATGAAACATTTCTAATCAAAAAAAATTTGCTCCTCACTTGACTATTATTTACATAATGTCTGAAAACCATTCGCAACAAATCAGACATCTTACTTTTTTCTCATTAATCTTTTTAAAAGTTAGACTTTTAGCAGGTTTCTTAGATGATTTTTTTGGTTCAGTCTAAAATACAAGACGCCCAGAGAAGTTAACTCGCCCATAGGCATCTTTTCTACAACCCCCAACTGGGTGTTTGAGTAAATAGTTAAATATTTATTTCAGTAATTAGCAAAAATTTATATTGCACCACAGAGAGCAGTAAATTTAAAAAATGTATTTTTAACTTTTATTTTCAGTTTTATTTTCTGAATTAATTTAAGTTTATTTGTAAAAATATCAGATGAGTAAAAATTCAATTTTTTTTTAAATCATCCATTTTAAAACCAAAAAAGAAGTTTAAAACGTTCAATACGATCAACAACGTGAATATAAAAATATCTGATACGACTACATAGGGGGGAGATGGGGGCACATTGATCTGTTTTGAGGTTTTTTTGTAACAACAGTGAAACTAACCAAAAAGTGAATATTAATATTTGTGCAATTTACAGAGGAACATTCATTTAATGTATTAAGTTCAGTTTCAATTGTATAATACAAGAAATTTTTAAAAAAATTTAACTTTGGTACAACCCCTACAAAGGATCAAAGCACCCCATATACGGGGTACCATGATCCCTCCCATGGGGTACATTGATCCTAGGTATAAATCAATATGATTTGATGTTCATTTGCCTCCAAAAAACTCGTTAAAACACATTGGATATAATAATTCATAATTTTTAATAAAAATTAACATTAATTAAGATCTTTAAAAATTGTCAAATCAACGGGAAAAACCAAGTGACGACTGACTCGAGCAGTCCCACCATGCTGAATTGGATCTGGAACTTTACAAACAATGTCCTCTTTTATAAATTGATATAATTCAGCATTTCTACAGATAAAGTTGAATGATGACATCTTTTCCCTTTTCAAGTATTTTACCATTAAATCTCCAGCTTCCGATATTATTTGGCCAATGTAATGAATAACTTTCTTTTTAGTTTTAAATTTTACTACAACATAGTCATTACTTTTTAATGCAGAACAGTCGTAGTCCAGACTTGGGCCTTCTGCTGTCAACTGAGGATTGCTTGCATCACCATCACTGTCATCACTTTCTAGTGTTCCAAGATAATCAACGCTTGACATGGCTTTTGTTTTTTTTACTGTATCGGATGTTCGTTTTTTTTTATTCACACTTTTTTCTTTTGCAAGAAAAATTTCATGTTTAACTGGAGTGTCAGTTAAAATTCTTGTTTTTTGTTGCCTGTTCCGAAATAGCTTTTTTCTGGCTGAAGCCTTTGGAAATGGTTTCAACACTTCTGGTGATATTGGAAAGTGAATATTAGATTGAACCATGTTAACATCATCAGTCTGTAAAAAAATATTCTGTTTTCAAATAAAAATCGTATCTTGCAGTTTTGCTAAATTTAAGCATCAGACAAGAATTTTTAAAATATTTAAGAAATAGTAATTTTTTTTGACAAACTTGTGGATTTGAAGTCATTTGTTCTGGTTCTCCATCATCAGCTAGAACCATTTGTGATGGCTCCACATTATTGGATGTAGCTGTTACTCCATAAGCACTGTTGTCTGTGTCCATTTCTGTAGCAGGTGTATGGCGATCTGTAACCGATGCTGCTAAAAAATCATCTGTAAAAATGTCCGGATTGTAAGGTTCTATGCCAGCGATTCGGAATCCAGATTCTATATTCGATTTTGCAAAAGCTTTAGTATATGCTTCCCGAACAATTGGTACAATATCATATATTGTCAGTGGTCTTGGGTTACTGACCATCCAGTTGTCACAAGCCGTATTGTAGTATTTCTTCAGAGGACCAAACACGGCTCTATCTAAAGGCTGCAATTTGTGGCTGCAGTGGGGTGGAAAGCTGAGCATTATAATACCATGTGATTTTGCAACATCTAAAGCCGCAACTGATATATGGCTTTCATGGTTATCCAATAACAGTAAAGTAGGGTAGTCAAATGAAGCCTTTGAGTGTTTTATGAAATGTTTCAATCACTCCACAAAAATGTCAGAACTCATCCAACCAGATGGATTTGCAAATCCGACACAACCTCGAGGACCATCTCTTATCATGAACTCTTTGAAGTTGACACGAGGAAAAATAAACAAAGGTGGTATGGAATTACCAATTGCATTTATAGCACAGCATACTGTAATTAATTTCCCTCTTTCCTGAGATGTCATCCTTCCGACTTGTTTCAATCCTCGACCGGCTATAACTTTAACAGGCTTTTGCACAGTTGTGAGTCCAGTTTCATCTACATTGTATATGTTCTCCGGACCAAAGTTATGCCTTGCACGAACCTTGTGAAGATTTTTGAAGAATTCACTGACATTATATTTATTGAATGCTGTTGCTCTTGCCAGACTAGTCGCTTCAGCTGCACGTGGTGACAACTCGGGTCTTCTTTTCATAAAACCCTGGAGCCAATCAATACCAGCAGTTTTTTTCATTGACCATGAAGATGGGCATGTTATATTATTCGCAACGGCCATATCATATGCGAACTGGCGAGTTGTTTTGGTGGATAGTCCATAGTTCATCTTAGATGCTTGCAGCAAATACTTTGCAAGCATCTCTTCTTGTTCTAAATTGAATACCTGCCTTGTATTCCAATTCGGTATCAAACCTACACTTGGACTGAGACTACTCTTCCGAACATATCGCTTCAATGTCATTCGGTCAATTCCAGTTTCACGTGCAACAGCATTGATAGCTCTGTTCTTTTTCAGAACTTCATCAACTGCTGTTCTCATCACTTCAACAGGTGTTTTACCTCGATTAGTTTTTCGCTCCCGATATCTCACCATTATGAAACCAAACCTGCAAAGTACACAAATTACATTTTACAATAATGGAAAAATAGCATTTTGCATGGTTAGAGAAAAATGACTAAACATCCTGGAGAATTATTATCTGAGGACAGTAGGGGCACTTTGATCTTCAGATCAACGTACCCCTTACTAGTACAGAGGAGCCCCCATGGCATGGAGCACACTATAATGGCGATATCTCATCAATAAGTTGTGATTGAAAATCGAACTAAATAATAAAATAAGCCTCTGACATATCTTTACACATTGCAAAATTTAATTTATCAAACAAATATTTATCTGATTTTTAATTTACAAAACTAACCTGTTGTGAATAGTTGGTTTTTCCCTGTAAAATCAAACTTACTAATTTTTCGAACTTCAGCGGCAGAAAGTCCATAAACAAATAGGATTAAAAGTAGAATAGAAACAAAAGGAAAACTAAAATAGTGATGGCCTACATTTATATTTAGAAATAGCTATGTTATTGCTTAAAGATCAATGTGCTCCAGAGATCAATGAGCCCCCATCTCCCCTACCCCAAAAATTTTAATTTTAAAAAATAGAGGGGATGACCAGCCCTGGGCAACTTAGACGTTCTTTCCACAACTATAAAAACTTTTGCTGTCTGTCTTTATATTTTCTGCCAGGTTTTTTCAAAAGTCCATATAGCTTTTTTTCTTGTTGCACAAAAAGTATTTTAAATCTTACTATTTGATGATCACTAGAGTGGAAGTGTTCTCCAACATCAATGTCTTCTATCAGATGGTTCACTGGCGTAATTACCAGTTGTTTTATCTACCACTTGAATAAGGTGGTTTTTTTCATAAATTCTAGAAATTATTTATCCCTTGGTTTTCGCCAACCTCTATTTGCCAGTCAATATGATAATTAAAATTTTTTCATATGTTTCATTTGTCATATTGGTTGAGAGAATTATCATAGCATTACAATCTGCTTAATTGAATTTATCTAGGACAGTTTGGTACTTTGCTATATGATCTACATTTGCATCTTGATGCAATTCATTTGGACTTTTCAGTTTTCCTTTTACTACATCCATTGCCACTGCGACACGGCACACGGGGTGCTTTGAAAAGGCTCCACAGTGCAGTTTAAAATCATTGCTGTTTGTTGCTGCTGTTGTATGTTACAGTTTATTAAGTTTTATGAATAGCTCATTCACCTATTCTTATCTTCATTCTATTATTTATTCAGTCACTTATTCATTTATTATTATGTTTTTTTTAATTCGTCCATCGTTCCTTCACTCTTCACTTACTCATTCACTCACCCACATTTACACATTCTTCACTTCATTCATCCACTTACTAACTCTTTCACACACATCCAGGTGGTATCTGGGGGCACAAAAAAACTACACTCGAAACATATTTCCTATTCCTATTTCACGGCCTTCATCTCATTATTGAATAACATGGAGCTCATAAAACAGATATACATATCCGGTGCTAAGAATAACTTGGAGGCGGGGCTTACCAGAGGTCAATGCTCTGTTTTATTATTATTATAGTTGTTTCATTATAATTTTTATTTTATATATATATATATATATATATATATATATATGCAATTAAATAGACAGTCTTAATTCAATATATATGTCAACTTGAACAATTTCAAAAAAAGTTCACGCCAGACAATCTCCTATTTTTTTTAATTTTAACAATAGGTACTTCAATGTATTTCATCAACAAAATAATTTTTTTTTTTTTAAAAATTTTTAGTTATTTTTCAGTTATTAAGAATTTTGTGAATGCACCCACAAATTTTTGAGCAATTTTTTTAAAATTTGTGCAAATGTAGGACGCTATATCTTTTGAACTAGCCAACATATCGTGATGAAATTTTGTGTGCGTATCAATGAAACAATATTATGATAAAACAAATAAAAATTATTGTCTCAAACCAAAAACATTTTTAAGAAAAATCTTGAAAAAGTCGTATTTTTTGATAATTTCACCGATTTCAAAGCTGTGTAGCTCAAAATCTATCTCAAAATAAATAATGTTTTTGTTATTTTAAAAGCACTTTATAGTTGGAAATAAATCACAAAATTTTGTTGAAATCTGTATTAAATTTTTCGAGCTATATCAAAAAGTCAAAAAATTAAAAACTTTTTTCGTTTCGTTAACCACGAAAAACCAAACTTTTTTAAATTTTCAGTTGTTTACTATAGTGCTTTCATGGCTTAACAACATATTACAAAACAAAATTGGCCTACGAAATGTCTGAGAGTCGATTTATACAGTTAAAGAGTTCATTTACATCACATCCAGATTATACGTCTAGAAGGAGTGTACCGATCATTGATTATGTAACTCGGTTAGACTGTTCATTTTACGTTAAGTGTCCAAATTTACCATAATCTATGCAGTGCAAATTACGAGATAATGTACGAAATTAACTTTATTTAATTTAACGATTTTTTATATAATTTCGAAAAACATGTAACAGAATTAGAGCAGGAGTCAACACAAACTAATCCAAAAAGATGAACAAACTGCTATTTTAAAACGTCAAAAATGAACTTAATGACGCACGTCTAACCGCTATCCAGACGCTTACATTTTATTAGAAGGTTTGTTTTGTAGCAGAGTTGATAGCTGTAGCAAATGGATCATCGTTCACAGAAACCTGGCTAAATTCATAAAGTTGTAATTCAGTCTCTCCAAACAATTTTAATATTGTAACAACAAATAGAGAGAAAATTAAGGTGGCGGTTTTACATTTTTTTAAATGCTGACTTATAATATGCACATAGGACAGACTTACAATATAAATTCATGCCATTGAGTCAATCAAATCTGCATTATTTCTATCATTAGTTAATATTTTTCATTTTATAATGTTGTTTTGTACTGATTGGTCGAATGGTTGTAGTTATTATAAGCATTACTGTATTATATTATTACTATTACTACTACTACTGCTACTACTACTGTTACTGCTACTTCTACTATTATTACTACAAACACTACTACTAACACTTCTACAGCCAAAGCAACTACTGTCCTTCTACCTCTTATAATAATAATAAAAATCTTACGAATAATAATAATAACACTGCAGAGGAATTACTGCATGAAGCACAGAAGTACACACAAGTCACCCCACTGGAGATCGACATTTTGTTTCAACTTATTTCCGTTAAAAATCAAACCGGGTTGGTTGAATGGATGCGATTGGTCAGTTTGGATGGATTAATTTTATTGGTTGACTTGAATGGATGGACAAATTTGAGTGGTTGACTCAGAGTGATGGATAAATTTAAATTGGTTGAATATTTTAATTTTCTTGGTTGGTTTGTTCGAATAAAAAATTGGATTGGCTGTCTTATTTGAATGGATTATTTTGATTGGTCTGTTTAGTTTGATGGACGGATTTTATTGGCTAATTTGTTTTGATAGAAGAATTTGATCAGATTGATAAATTTCATTGGTTGGTTTGATTTTACTGATCAATTTAATTGGTTAGTTTGATGGTTAGGTTTGATGTTAACCATTTTCATTTGATCCTTTTTCCAGAAAGATCTTCTTTCAAGATATAAGGAAGTTGGCACCACTAGACACAGAGATGCTGCCTATACATTATCAGGATCAAGCTATTGCCGTATGTTTGTTTGTTTTTTGCTTGTTTGTTTTTTGTTTGTTACTTTTGTTCATTCTTGATGGCTGATAGCATGGGAGAATTGCAGTTAAAATTTGACAGATGGAAAAGTGTTATCAAAAAGAAAGGGTTAAAAGTTAATATTGGTAAGACGAAGGTAATGGTAAGTGGGGAAGGTGGGGAGCGAGTGATAAGTTAAATAGACCCCTGTGGGGTATGTGACAGGAGAGTGAAGGCTAACTCGGTATTGTGTATAGATGTCAAAAGTGGGTGCATAAGAGATGTAGTGGTGTGAGGGGAGCACTGAAAAAGGTTGAAGGCACGTTCAAATGTGAGAAATGTGTTTATGGTGTGATTAATAGGACAGATGCAAGGACGGGGTTGAGTGGAGGTATTGAAAGAGTGGAAAGCTTTGTTTATTTAGGGGTTAAGCTGAACGCGGATGGAGGATGTTTGAGCGCTGTTACGACTAGAGTTCGTGTGGGATGGATGAAATTTAGGGAACTTGGTGGGGTATTGTGTGGAAAGAAATGATCAGTGAAGATTAAAGGGAGGGCATATAAAGCATAGAGTTTTATTTTAAAACATGATACACATCTATTTTTTTTTACTAAGTGTTCTATGTAAATTCACTTTTTGTTGTTCCGGTTGATAATAAACGAGTCAAAACGTTTCTAAGTTTTTCTTCTTTTAATGTCTTTCAATATTATATTAATATCAATTAATTAAACGATCTACTTTATATGAAATTTAACATGTTCTGAAATTTAATGTTCTTAAATTATGCGCTCATGTATATATATATATATATATATATATATATATATATATGTTGGTAATAGACCATAATTTTTACAATATTCTATAAATTCTACCGAATGTTTGGCGTTNNTATGTTTGTNGTTCGTCCTTTCGGTGGAATTTATAGAATATTGTAAAAATTGTGGTCTATTACCAACATTTACTCGAAGTTCTGCGACCAACCGACGTAATCTAACAATCGAACAAGATCGCGAGAAGCGACTGCCCCATCTCTTTCGAGAATTAGAAGTTAAAAAGAAGGTAGTTCAATAAACGAACTACAAACATATTAACGCCAAACATTCGGTAGAATTTATAGAATATTGTAAATATATATATATATATATATATATATATATATATATTGTGTTGCTATATGATCCGTCATATACAATTATATAGTATATACTCGTGCACAAGTTCTTTTATACAAAGATCAGCTTATAATTTATAAGCTATAAATTCTGCTATAAATGCTGTTATAGCATAAAGAAAATTGTCCAGCTCACCTCACAATTAGTGATGTGGTTATTATGTGTCATTTATGCTTAGCTTTTAAGTTATTGACATAAAATTAATTGAATTCAATAAAAAATTTTCTATTTATAACATTTTTAAATGTGGATAGACGCTTAAATCCGGCCACCAAATCCAAATATATCTACGATGTTCTGTGAATTAAATGTTTTCAAAAGGTTTTCAAACTAAATAAGTTAAACTGAATATTCCAGGTGAAATAAATAAACAAAAACCAATACGCAACAGCAACCGAACAGTCGTAATAAATAAACAAATCCCTAAGAAAAACCGCAGAACAATATTCAAACTTCAATTACCAAATGACACCAGAAAACCCGCAGAAAAACCGACCGGCCTGGAACCATTGTCCAGAACACTCCGTTCATTCTCAAACATACTAACCATACTCGCGCAATACCATACCAGCATGCACACAAGACCAATCCATACAACAAGCGTGCCAAACAAACCAACATATGCACGTGAACCATTCATTCAATATGCGCGCCAAAAAACTTCACATTATTGTTGTTACTGTCGTTGTTGTTGCTATTGTCAATGTTATTATCACTACCATCCAGGATTCATTGGCACAAGGCAGAGGAATTTTGATCCAGATAATGGAGAGCGCATACAGATTCACGCTGGGTTCAGTGGCTGGAGGTATGAGGATGATGATGAGGATGATGATGAGACGTGACGATGATGATGAAGATTAACCCATTCGATGTCAAATTTTTTTCAATATTTCAAAATTGTATTTCTTTGTTTTGTCGTCTCAATGACAATTTTATACTCGGTTGCAACGTTTTGCACCACAGATTGATTTGGTCTTTGTAGCTATTTAACTATTTGTATAGTTTACAAATGTCGAAACAACTAAACCTTTTGAGCCGTTTGTGAAAGCAAAAAGTTTCTCTGCCTTGGTATAGCTCAGTGGTGATTAAATACCCATATAGCATAATAAGCGGGGACCTCATGTTGAAAAATGGACGGCATAATTTAAATTCCTCTAAAGACAACTGCGAATACTTGAAGAAGAAGATGGCACAAATTTTTCTGTGATTTTCCAGTACTTGTCTCATTGACAAGTAATAGTTAGCTCCAGACAGTTGCCTGAACCATCCAAATCTTGACTCATCAGATGGCTACCGTCCCAAAAGCACATAGTTGAAATTTTTGTCTTCAAAAGATACATTGAACATTCAATAATAGCCTTAACTGTTTGTTTCATGGCAAGGAATGTTTCTTTTGTCAAACCAGAATTTTTTGATGTTTCCCAATTATAAGAAAACTTAAAACAACATTAATAATAAATCCTCTAGGTAACGATTGCTCTTGCAATAATTTTTCTTTTATATCATTTATACCTAACACTCACTAATACCATCATCCATTTGAAAACTTTTCTCCAATTTCATTAAAGAATTATTGTGTTTGTCAATTCTTTTTTCACTGGAGGCATTTCCACTTCTTGGTTTGCTAACATTTGAATTGTTCAAATACGAAGGAACATTTTGAAAAATTGATGGAATAGCATCATCTTTCAATCGCGTTTTCAATAAAATTTTATTTGCTTTTTTTTATTACGAGTGACATTTTTGTTTTAACTTTAGTTGTTGAAATTATCGGGTTTTAAATGCAATGAACACATTCACGATTTGGCTATTGGGGTGTGCCCAATTCTTGGATTTGCTTTTATCCATTTCTGCAACATATCGGCGTTGTGCAAAGGAAAACGATGTAACGTAACGTTCTCCGAACAAATATTGTCGTAACCTAATTAGGAAATTAGCGAATGATCAAAGTTTAGAAGTTTAAAAAAAATTAATATTCATATTACAGAACTCAATAACGTAATATGAGGGTTCATTTTCATCTTCCTCAGAACTATAATTAAAGGATCTGCATTGGTTCTTTTGTAGCCTCTCTGGCTATGAGCCATTTTCTCCTGTATCCAACAACAACAACAACACACGTTTAGACGACATTTTTCCGGAGATCGGGGGTTGCCGTTTGGCTACCTATGATGAAACCGAAATACCCCTCGACGCCATCCACATCTGTCATTTTGTTAAGACAAAAATGTCACTCCTGTATCCCTGTATCCACTGGTGACTACTCCTTCTACTGTAACCCCCCCTCCCTAAAAATTAGGGGAGGTTACAGTAAAGGGTTACACTACACAAACAAATACAAATGTTTCATAAACATGTAAACATAACATGCACACTTACAAATACACACACACACATGAACAGCAACTGGTGCAACTGCAGTCTACCCGATAGATTTAGTGAAAACTCGTCTGCAAAACCAGAGAACGGCCTCATATATCGGAGAGAGGATGTACAAAAATAGTTTCGACTGTTTCAAGAAAGTTCTGCGCCACGAGGGATTTTTTGGACTTTATAGAGGACTTCTGCCGCAGATTGTGGGCGTGGCTCCAGAGAAAGCTATCAAATTAACGGTTGGTTGACGGCTGGCTGCTTGGTTGGTTGTGGTTAATCGGTCGGTCGGTTTGTTGGCTCGGTGGTTGGTTGGTTAGTCGTTTGTTCAGTTGATTAGATTTTTGGTATTAATCAGGGTGGTGATGAGGATAGTAATGATTGCGATGATGAAGATGATAATGATAACGATATTTATACAGCGATAAAAATCGCTAATTTTATATTTATATTAAAATGTTAATAAATTATTATATCATTGCCATCATTAATATTTTTTTATTACTTTCATATAGTGAAATCGCATAGTGAAATTTTTTTTTTTATTAGTCTTTATTATTGCAGTTCTGACATACGCAGAACCACTTACAATGTTACAGATATATTATGTTATCTATATATCTTTTATTATGCTCTTTTATTATGTTCTTCTTTTCTTCATCTATTGATTTGAAGCAGCCATCTTTTGCCACAAAGGCTGTTTATCCTTTTCACACGACGTAAACATGTATTTATGTGCACGCGCAAGCACCGCATCATATACGCTGAGTATATGATAGCCATTGAGATGTTTGACTCAGCGAGCATTTGAATCACCGAGCCATCTCGCCAGCCAGCATGCGACAACTTACGTCGTCTACCCATTTACCAACCTCGAAAGGATGGACGGCTGGGTTGACCGGGGGTCGTCTACCCGGATGAATCTTGAATATTGAAATATGTTGCATATATTGCGTCCCGGTTACGTTATGTTCAATGAGGCAGAGTTGGAAGAAAAAACAAAAAGAAACCACCATGAAAAATTATCGCCACTGTCCATCACGCATTTCTTAAGATAAAAATACCAAATTTTATGAATAGAAATAGTTTTTATTAAAAAGTTATTAATTATTAAAAAATTATTAGTTATTAATAAAAAGTTATTATTTATTATTACTGCAAACTACTAATTAATAAAAAAATAAAATAGCCGAACTGGAATGAAATACAAGTAAATTAGTTATTGCACGTAATACCATGAACAAATAAATATTTTCAAGAATAAGTACAATGAAAATAGAATTATGAACTTTGTAGTTTAGTAATTTTCCTTTTTTGGCATTAAATGTCCTATATTCTACAGAATTCTCCACGATGGAATTTATTTTATTGTTTTCAATGATATTAAAGAAAACAGGTGAATGTTTTAAATTATGCCCGGTGGTGCAGAAATTTAGAGATTGTTTCAAGCTCATCATCATCTTCATGTCTGTCTACCAAATTTATAAATAGATGTTGATTTGCATAATAGAGAAACTTTTTTTTAAGAGTAAATCATCACTCTTCACTTTTTCAAATGTTTTCTCAACATAAAAGACAAATGTAAAAATTACACAGAAGGTTTTTTCAGAACTCTACGATTGATTTGATCAAAATAAAATGACCAAGAATTACTTCTGGTTAGGGTACCGAATAATAGTGCAAAATTACAACAAGCCGTAAGATGGAGCATGTTTTTGTTCGGGATATCAATGTTGAAATCTCCCATTAAACAAATATATTTATTTCCATTGTTTACTGCATGAAAAATTTTTTCAACTGGTTTAAGTACATTTTTAGTACTTATTAAGAATTCTAAATTACCTACAAAATTTGCCCCAGAGAGGACTTTTGCCTCTAACATTCAAGAAGGGGTTGATGCTCCTGGTAGCCGGAGCCGCTCAAAATGTAACCGGGGCGCAATCGAATGTAGACGGAATGCCATGCAAATTATTATTATCTTCTACTTATCACAGGTGAACGATTTCGTTAGAGACAAGACGACATCTGCCGACGGGAAGATTCCTCTATGGGGAGAAATAATGGCCGGTTGTTCGGTGAGCACACTTCTGTTGTGTTATACTAATTATTACGTCATTATCATCACCATCATCGCTTACCATCACGAACATAATTACCATCATCACTACCACTACTGCTGCTACTATAACCATCACTACTACTTTTTTTAATACTACTACACTACCACTACTACTACCTGCTACTACCACTTCTACTTCTGAAGTTTCAACTCCTAATGCTATATTTGTTATTTAATAATAACAATAATTAATAATATTTAATAATAATAATCAGGCAGGTGCGTGTCAAGTCATCTTCACCAATCCACTTGAAATCGTGAAAATTCGTCTCCAGGTGGCCGGTGAAATCGCCACCTCGCGAAAACTCGGCGCTATAGAAGTCGTCAAAGATCTCGGTTATCTTGGATTATATAAGGTTTTTTTGGCGGGTTTCATATATTTGGGTCATATATGATGTTGTCAGTTCAAGTCTTTTTTTTACCTCTTCCTTTCTTACTTTCTATGGTTGAATAAGGCCCTATATGATAATTTTTCTAAGTTCATCTATATATATATATTGTTTGTTTTTTTTTTGTTTTGTTTTTTTAAGGTTCCAATTAGTACAAGTACTATTTGCAATTGGTCCTACTTCTATAAAATCATAATATATAAAAAAAATCATAATATCAAAAGAAAAAAAAGAACAGAACCATAATGTTAAATGTTACATTCTCAATAATTATAAATAATAAGAAAAAAAGAACAAATTTACAAAATGAACTAAAAGATAAGTTATGATCGGCAAATTAAACAAGTTTTCAGATTTTTTTCAAATATATATATTTGTTAATGTTGTTGTTTATTGAAGACACAAAAAAGTAAAGAACATACTTGTGCCGGTGCCTTAATTAAATTTTGTTCAAAAAGAAAAATGTTCACATAATGTAAGCTTTGATAACAATCCTTTTCATAAATATACACCAGACACATACGCACACAGACACACACACACCCACATACATACATACATACATACAATTACAAATAATGGTAATAGATTTCAGAAACTAAAATCAAACAGAAACGTTAATATTCATTCGATCGAGCGAGCAGATAACGAAGCTAAAACAGTCAGTATACAAATAAATGATTTTTCTTCATATATTCGCAGACCATGGAATTCAAGATAATTGCATCAAGAACTCAAACTGGCATATTCATTTCAACCGTTTTAGGCTTGTATATATTTCGCCATATTGCCAGTCTGCTAAAGAACCACAAGTCTGTTTCAACGCTTATAAAGGTTTCATTTAAGCTTGGTTTTTCCACACTCAACCAGAAACCTATTAAACTTGTACAAATAATCCAATTTCCAATAATTTGATGATCGAACTGTGTCTTGTTTTTTTTTCCTTTCGAACATGTCTTCACTTTGAGAACATTCCACAATTTTGTGATTATTTCAACAAACTTTGCAGTTCCTTTCCACTGTTCTTTTTTTCATGCCTAACATAATATGACAGAGCATCACAAGTCGATTGGCAAAACAAAGAAGTAGCTAACTTTACAGATGTTTTTTCAAGATTTGAAGGGTAAATATTTTTGCATTTAGTTTGAAGAAGGCTTATTCTTTACTGACATCAATCATCAATCAATCTTCGTTTTGCGTCCAGAGACCCGGTTTCCCGAGGTAGGACGTTGTTTTCTTTGCCATCAACTTTTTGTGCCAAATTAGACGATCAGTTGTATTCATTTCATTTAAATTTAGAGCTTTCATGTCTTGCTCGATTGTCACGAGTATTTTTTTGTAAAATTTGCAAAAGCGCAAGATCAGTTTGAAATGCTTTAGACTCATGGTGGCAACAAAAATTGGTTTTCCAGTTTTTCTGGCCACAATTCTTCAAGCGATTCCTGATTGCATCAGTAGACACCAGCAAGTAACAATAGACCGATAAATGCTTCACATTCTGTCCAGTCAAATTCTTTTTAGCGCTTTTGATTATCTGGATAAGTAGAGTTCCATTTGGCATAGCATCGTTGTTTCTTTAATGACTACAGACTGAATCTCTTAAGATAAATACAAATGAATCACTTTTTTATTGACTTTTTACGTCCATCGAAAGTGATGCTTTGTCACATAGAGTTAGATGAAATGCAAATAAAACAAAATGACTGATATTCAAAAAAGAGGGCAACTAATAGCCACATGATGCTAAAATATTATTTCATCAAAATTAACAAAATTTATTTGCAATAATAATTTTTTTGGTATTATATTGAAATGTTAAGTAACGTTTTTAGGGGTGCAAATGCACCCCCAATAAAAATATTTCGGTGAAAATCAGCGCAAACATTTTTTCATAATTTAAGGCATGAAATGATTAAAAAAATTGTATCTTAATGTCCTAGAGCATGATTACTGTAGTTTAATTAATAAAAATGTAGCAACATGAAAATTGCTACAGATAATGTTGCAATAAATAAGGTGTGGATATATAAAACTTAATATAATTATAATTTCAGTATAATTTAATTTTAGTAGCGTAGTCAAATTTATGTTTTAATTTGTTTAAAACACACAAAATTTAGAATATTTTTCCCTGATAGTTGAAATGTGCATCTCCCATGATAGATTATGTTGAATATATACTCCTAGAAATTTAATTGTGTTAAGTTTTTCAAGTTGAATATTATTTAATTTAAGAGATAAATCTTGCATTGTATTGATTAGGATTGTAAAGCCAATAGTTGTGTAAAATGATTTGTCAGTATTGATAATAAGCTTATTATTTGAAAACCATGACTCATTTCTTTTTAGTTCAATATTTATTAAATTTATGTCATCACTAATTGTTTTTGAACTATAAAAGATATTTATGTCGTCCGTATACATTATACATTTAAATAATGTAGATACGTTTGGAAAATCATCAATAAAAATGGTGAAAAGAAGAGGGCCCAGAATTGAACTCTGGGGAACCCCATATTTGTGTTGTCAATGGAAACAAATTATTTTCTATTTGACAGCTACTATTGTTTTCGTTAAAGTATTTTTGATGGGGATTGCTACTGGCTATCTGGTGAAACGATCGACACACGTTAAAATGTGTGTGTGTGTCCATCTGATGATGGCATAGGTCTGACTAAATTGGTGGACATGTTGAAACTCTCTGCACCAGTTTCGGATGTCGTTATCAATGTGGGACCAAACGTACCTGGTCCTAATTAACATTGATGTTGCTTTCGCTCCTGAATGTGACAAGGAGTGGGAAATTAAAAAAAATGATTTTCGCATGCTTGTTGGAGCTAGAGGACGAGGGGTGCCTAATGAGGTGTCGACAACGATATTGTTTTTTGAGTTGTTGACTGGAATTATGCTGATTTTTAGTGAGTCTGTGTTATCAAGGAGTGTTGTATCATTATCCTGTTCATTCGACTTCTCATCAAGGTTTATTGCTTTTGGCGTTATCGCGGCTACCTCTGTACGTGATAACGCATCAGCCACGATGTTTTTTCTTTTTTCACGCTTCGAATGTCTTGTGAACTGTGAGATGTAATCAAGATGTTTGATCTCTCTTGGTGTTAGACGATTTGAATTTCAATGTAAAGCGAAAGTCAATGGTTTGTGGTCAGTGAATATTGTAATATCTCGACCTTCGACGATATGTTGACAATGGCGGATAGCTGAATACACTGCCAGCAGTTCTCGACCAAATGTGCTGTAACGGGTCTGTGCTGGATTAAATTTTTGTGAAAAGAAAGCAATGGGTCTTGCAAACCCATGACTTTTCTGTTCTAGTACCCCTCTGGCAGCAACGTCTGAAGCGTCTGTGAAAAGTTGAAAGGTACCTTTCTCTTGAACATACCATAACTTGGTTGCCGCTTGTAATGCCTGCTTGGCCTCTTTAAAAGTTTGTTGTTGAACCTCGTTGAGTTTTAGTTTTTTTGATTTGCCGATTAAAATGTCAGTGAGAGGTGATAATATCGTTGAGTATTTAGGAATGAATCGACGGTTGAAATTGATCATTCCGATGACTCGGCGTAGTTGCTTGTCAGTCGTTGGTTCAGCAAAATTGATGATTGCCTGTACTTTGTTTTCGAGGGGTCTAATGCCTTCACTGTCGAGTTGATGTCCCAGAAATGTTGTGGATGATTTCGCCCATTCACATGTCGATGGATTGATGGTTAGTCCATTTTAATAGTTTCCTCAAATCATCAGTCATTTTAAATTTAAAATTGTTATTCTTTGTTTTGCTTGGTGTAAATTCATTTATGTTTGCACAAAGCTCGTCTTTTAATATCTTCCAATCACTTTCAACATTCGCATCTTTTCCAAACAAATTATTCACTGATGGCAATAATGCCGCCCTTAATCCGTCATAATCACCCAAATCAAGACAAAATTTTTTATAACTCCTTTTAGTTGAGCAACTGATACCAGCAACTATGAATTCGATCACCGAATGGTCACTGTTTCCGAATGGAGAATAATGCTTTATAATTTTGACAAACTCCTGTGAGGAAATCACCAGATCTAGTATGTTAGCTAGTGTTGTTAAAGTTTCGGTTTTTTTTTCAGTTTGAATTTGTATTTCGTTTTGCAAAGCCCATTTGAGTTTGAGTTACAGTTTTATCTTTTTTCAGTTGCAGTTTCTATTAAGCTTTACAATTTAAGTTTCAGTTTTATTTTAAGTTTCAGTTTTGAAATCCATGAACTACCGATTTTTTAAATAAATTAAAACAAAACAATTACAAATGGTAGAGATTTATTTTATTACAATCAATTTAAAAAACAAAATATTAAATATTCACACAAGCTGTAAATTATGTTTTAGGAACAAACGTTTCTCAAGGTTGTTGCTCAATTTATTTCGTCGACCTTCGGTCAATATGCTACATGTTGAAAACAATCGTTCAACGAAAGCCTGCGAACATGGCAAGGCCAGTATATTTGGAGCAATACCAGAAAGAAGTGGCAAGTCTGTCTTTTTGCTTCATGCAACAATTGAATCTTCATCTTCTGGCAATAACTGGCTATTAATTTTAGATATATATCTGTCTATTTCTTCTACATCAGAATATATACTCAATAGTTTATCTGTTCGGCTTTGGCTGCACGTTGGCAAAACTAGACTGGTCATCAACTTAAAACGTTTCGTCGGACGTTGTTGCAGGTCCTGATCAATTTGAAGTTGATTGCTATCTTTGCGATTTCCATTTATTTTTTGAACTATATATTTTTTAGCCATAGATAAAAGAGCAGAGTTAACAGGCATTAGCAAAGTCCAGTTTTATCTCAAGTCAAGCAATGTTGCCGCGGCGGTTCCATGGCTAGCCAACCCTATTTAACTCAACCCCATTTAAGCCAACCCCCTCCAACTCGACCCACATGCAAGTCAGCCCAGATCCAACTTAACCCACTTGCAAGTCAGACCACATTCAACTCAGCCCCATGCATCTCAACCTCATTAATCT